TGCGGATATTATTTTTTCTTCCTTTTTTTTTTTTCCCTAATGATGGACCTTTATTCTGTTTGTTTGCTTTAGATGCTTGCGGTACTGCCATGTGATCTGGAAAATGCTCAGCTGAGCAAACAGCTCAGAACTTAGCGTAGCGTTTGATATTTTTATGGTTTTAATCAACATAGCAGTGCTTGCTATACTTTCAAACGCAACCAGGATTTCGCTGTGTTTATCCAGTTAATTTTCTGCACATTGAGATAACACACACCTCTAGGGCAGGTTTACATTCAGCTTTGCAAATCAGGAAGAGCACTCCAAGAGGAAATGATGGGTTAAGTACGGACGAGTTGTAAAGAGCCTCTGAGAACAGGTGGTTTATGGAATCATTGATTGCTCACCAACAGAGATTGCTTTAACTGATGGTTATGTGGGAAACTCACCATAAGTCACCATAAGATTCAGCATCTTTCAAGTCCCTGCTGGGATCTGAAGAAGTTTTCCATGTGGACAGCTGAGTGATACACAATCCTGAGACAGCAGTGACTCATTATCACTTTGGATTTTATAAAAAAACTAGAAGGAAAAAACATTTCCTAGCGTGCCATGAACCACTGTAGTGTTCTTAGAGGTTCTAGTGACCGGAATTTTGAATTTACTTTTCCTTTGTGGTGTCAGGAGGAGTAAAATAAAATTCTGTACCAATGTTTGAAAACAGTCTCAGTTTTAAGTTCAACCCAGCTGTACCCTGAGGCTGAAACATGGCCATGTTTTGGCAGCAGGGAAGACTGCCATATGTTGCAGTGATAAAGAAATTACACTGATGCCAATCTCTAAAGTCAGACTTACAAAAAATATCTAAGGGAGTATATTTGTAGCAATATAAGCTCTAATATATATATAGAATAAAAGAACCTGACAAGTCTGTATTTAAGGTTAATTTTTCTGTCCCTTTAAGAGTCATGCACTTTGTAAATGCCACAAGCCACAATTCACTATTGTTCTTGAGAGAAGTTGTACATAATAGATAAATCCATTGCACTTCCCTGTTACACAGAATCACTTGCTGTCTAGCTCCCAGCTTCCAATAACCATAGGACAAGTCCATTCTTTGAATAAGTTCTTACTTATCGACTGGCTGTTAGTGAACACATACTGGAAATTGATAAGAAGATTCTTTTTTTAGCAGACATTCAGTCAGACCTCTAAAGAGAGCAAGGATGTGGAGACCCTGAACGCGGCTGGCAACAGCATGACATAATCTTTCTTTTAATGAGGTCAGTGTAGGTCATCAGTTTTTAGCTCTCATGGGTGACTTCCAATGCTTTTAAACTCATCAATTAGTTTTGGTGCCAGCAGTATGCCAAGACTTTGAACACAAAAGACTATTTGTATTCTTGATATGCATAAAGTAAAATCTATTGTAGGATCTATTCGTACAATGTGGCAGTTCCAAACCACGTCTCCTGGAACCTGATGCAGAACAAAATATCCAATACAAAATACTGATCTCAATCATAAAACTTGTTTTCTATTGTAAGCAATGAAGCTGCTGTTTCTCACTGCTGACAGAGGACTGCTACTGATCCATCAAGCTAAATATTTGAGCCGTTCTAAATTCACTCCGTTTACCAGTATCCTGAGACACGTTTGTGAGACTGTTAAGAAGTTGCTGAGAACAGAAAATGGATTCCACCAGCATCTTCTTGTTTTCACCATTTATGTCCTTGAACTCTTGAAAGAAATTATCCAGGAATGCAATAAATTTGTTTTGAAGCAGAAGTTCTACTGCTGACTAGGTCCATACTTTCCAGGTAAACATTTTTTTACCCAGCAGTGATGGTGGTCTTCAAATTTCCACTTTTTGACAGCGTACCAGCTAAGTTCTTCTGCATGTCCTGTGCCAACAGGTCCAGCTGGCTTTGCAGCGAGGACATTAATTCATTTGCGTTCTTTGTATATACAAACCTTGCCATTTCTAGTTCTTCTCTAAAATTCCCATAGTAATGGGAATTTTACTGAGAAAAAACACTGTTTCTTCCTGTAAGGTTTTCAGAGTGTGAGAGAGACCTCCTAAGAAGATAGTCCTTTTTAGGGCACTCCATCTCATCAACCACAGCAGAATGTTTCCGCGTGTTATTCTGAAGCTGACAGTTCAGTTCCAGGACAGTTTACACCATTGGTGTCAAGATATTTAATGCTCTTCCTAATCTACACATATGCTCCTCGGTCATCCTCAACAGCTCAGCTTTACTAGCAAATGGCAGAGTCTTATTTGGCATATTTTTTCAGATATATAAGAAAGTTCACTGGTCAGCAATTTTTTAATGGGGGCAAAAGACAATGATACAACTAATGCAAATATATTAGCTGCTGAACATCTGGTAGATAGGAGGCTACCTGTAAAATATGGATGTCAACATCTGTTGCTGCTTCAGACTGTTCTCACTAACTGAATCTGGTGTTCTGTTGAACAGAATATTCATTTCTCCTGCAAATGCATTTGGACTACAGCACTGTGTTGATCAACTGCCTTCTTACGATCTGGTTTTGCATAGCTACATCTTTTGTACTAACAGTACTAACCAAATGGCTAGCTGTGCCACTAAGCTTTTATTTGGTGTTCTCCCAAACAGAAACCACATATTCTTTCTCAGCTGGAGGAACCTTGTTTTCTTGCAGATCTGTCTGTGTTTCAGTTCTTTCCCCTTGATCTGGTGTTGTTAAGCTTTGCTTTTATTAATTGTGAATGATTTAGTGATTGTTTTCACCACTTCTTCCATGGCACTGGTTATGTCAATGCACTCTGCAACTTGTTCATCCTGAATTGTCAGCTTTCCTCTAAGGGCTTCATGAATTTTCAATCAAAATAATATAGACTCAATTTTACTCTCATGCAGCAGCAAGGTCTCCTCTTAGGTGTTCAGTCTCTTCAGTATCTTAATAATAGCTCCTTTTGGCAGGTGCTGGTTAACTTCAGGACTCATTATGTTCTTTGCTCTGTGAGCACACTTCAGTGTACTCTGTGTTTCCTCAAGATTTATAGATGTGTGAGAAACTGTGATAATTATTGATGTTCTTGGTTGTTCTCCAAGAAGAGTCTTGAAGGATTCTTGTAAGTTAAGATTCTGTGTGTCTCCTTTCACAAGACCAGTAATAACTCTTTCTCCAGTCAGAACAGACTACTTTGTATTTCCAGCTTCACAAGCTCTGTTATCAACTGCCCCAAATACAAGTGTTCCAGTTTATCTTCCCAGTTCTAACAAGCTCCTGTCCATCTACTCTGGTTTCTTTCATATGGTTGGTAACCAAAAACACAGGCTAGGAACAACTGGAATATGCATTTGTGTCACTGGCTGCTGTAGTTCTTTTTGCTGCACCTCTTTCCAAGCTTTGTTCTGCTTCATTTTTGCTGTGTCCAGGTATTCCTTCCAAGTCTATCACATTTATACCTGTCTTGTCTATGGGATCATCAAACATCTAAAGTCTTTTTCCAACATTGGGAATAGGATTCAGAAGGTCAAAAAGCTCTTTATAGATTTCCAGAAGACAGAATTTTACAAAAATTCAGTATAAATTGCTGTGACTTTTTCTAATATTCAATACAAGGCATCGTACACCACATCTGGTGCTGTGCACTCTCTGAAGTGACTTTCCAGCTCTTACTGTCTGCTCTGCAGATGAGGAATTGTGGTATTTATAGATGCCTTCCATGGACACCTTAAAACAGAACAGCTCATCTGTCAGTAGGTTTAACTAATGACCCACGCTCTGAAAAATGTTTTAGGGAATTGTCATATGAAAAAGCTTGAACTCTGATGTAATATGTATGTATGTAAACTTTAAGATGTAGGTATATTGGAGATGGAGGCAGAGATTTTTGGGATGCACTGGTTTTGGATTAAATGTACAGATATGAAAACAGAAACTGACTCCAAAGAAAATCCAGTAGCAAGATGCAGACTCTGCTCAAAACTAGAGCTGCTCCAAGCAATTCTCAAAACACTATTTCCTCCTATATATTAGAATCATAGAACGGTTACAGTTGGAAGGGACCTTAGAGAACATTGAGTTCCAACCCCCCTGCCATGGGCAGGGACAACTCCTACTAGACCAGGTTGCTCAAAGTCCCATCCAGCCCGGCCTTGAACACCTCCAAGGATAGGGTATCCGCAACTTCTCTGGGCATATTAAAGCGCTGTTCAGTCTTGCTAAATGATAGAAATAGCTCACTAATCATTAGATTTCTCTTTTAATTCTTCTCAGTGTTCTTCACAACCATGGGATCAGTTAGAGGGTGGGGGAAGAAAAGCTCCCACCACCTCACAGTTCCATGAGGTGAGATGGAAAGAAAAGTGCTGTTACTGAGCCTCAGTGCAAAGCCCAGAATTCTGTCCCTGCAAAGACAGCATCTGGAAAAATACATGACTGTGTGCAGCAGTTTTGTCTCAGAGAGGTCTCCCTCCTCACTCTAACAATAAGGTTTTCAAAAAGCTACAGCAAAATCCTTAATAGGATAGTAAAGGACTGACGCTTTAACATCCCAGAGGTAGCGCTCAGGCGCTCACACCACAGCGGGCCTGCCCTTCTGGAGACCTCTCCCTTTCCAGCCCCACTTCTTCTCCTAAAATCCTCCTCCCCAACTCCCCCCCGGGCTGACAGCCCTCCTCACCCCGCCGGCCCCGTGCGGATCCCGCCTCACAGGTGCTCTGCCCACAAACTTATCGCTACTTCAGGGGCTTGCCCAGGCCTTCTCCCTCCCGCAGGGCCGCGGACAGGCGGGCGGGAAGCCACTGGGACGCTACCGGCGGCCGCTGACCGCCTCCCGGGGACAAGGTGGACGCCGGCGCCTCTGCCAACGCCTCCGGGAGCGACCGAGAACCGGCGAGAGGATCCCTCGCCTCAACCCGGCCCAGGCCCGGCCCCTCCTCCGGCAGGTGCGGCCCTGCCGCTCCGGGGCCGCCGCTGCGCACTGGGCGGGGCGGGGGAAGGCTCCTCCTGCTCGGGCACCGGAGCCGCACAGCCGGGACCGGCGGGTTGGCGACGCGGGAGCTTCTTCCCCGCGGTTCGTCCCCCTCCCGCTGCCCTGGGAACGGGGCGGAATAGGCGGCCGCCACCTGCCCCGAGGTGAGTTGAGCGGCCGGGCCCTGAGGCGGGCGCCCGCCCGCCCGTCGCTCCCGTTACCTAACCGGGACCGGGCGGCGGGGCGAGGCGAGGCGGGGGGAGGAAGGAAGGGAGGGTAAGCGGCCCGTCGCCTCAGCACCGCTCGTTGCCGGGGAGACGGTTCAAACGGCAGCTCCGACCGTTGGGGCGTCCCTGGGTAACGGCTGGCGCCCGCCTCAGCGGTCCCGCCGGCCCTCGGCGCGGTGCGAGTCCGGAGGCGGCGGGAAGGGGAAGGGGGGTGAGGGGGACGAGCCGGAGCTTGAGTGGGGCGGCTGCGGGTCCCGCTCCCCGCGGGGTTGTGTGGGGACGTGCTCCCAGGTGCTCGGTGTGTGTGTGTGTGTGTGTGTGTGGCGGCGTCTTAAAACATGGCTCTGCCGCCTCGCAACGGGGGCTGAAATGCGTCGCCTCACTTCGCAGGGGCCGTGTCCTTCCTCTCTCCAGACTTGAAGCCGCTCGTTTGGGTGACAAAACCGAGCTTTTTTCTCCTCTCCGGGGGCTGAAATACGCCAGGGCTGTCAGGAGCTAGGCACCTCGATGGCCGGAAAATGAAATTTGCAGCAAAATTGAAGAGGTGCCGCTGCTCAGGTGGTTGCATACTTAGCTGGGTTGGTTCTCACCCCTGGATTTCCCGTTTGGTTGATCTGGGGCAATTCTGCCCCAAAACGAAGCCCAGGTTCTAGCGGTGGTGGAGGCTGGTGCCAGTCTGCCCAGTGAGTTCAGGTGGCAGAGCCAAGCCCGCTCCTGTGTATGGCCTCTGGCAGAGTCCCACTGACAGCTGATATACAGTACTGTCACACACAAACACTGGGAAACACTATACTTGGCTGCATTATACCGTACACTGTAGTAAAGAAACAGAGCTACAGGTTGAAACAGAGCGACAGGTTGAAACAGCATGGTGAGGTAACCTGTAGACATTGATCTTAGCAAATAGTGGGAATAAATTAGTTTTTTTTAAAGCCTGTTATAAATTTTTCTGGTTTTGTAGGGGTAGGAGGATCTCTTAGGAACGTTTCAGAAGCAAGTTGGGGGTTGGTCTTGCTTGTGGAAGTGGTAATGGCAGCGTTCGTTCAGTTATGAAAAGGTCAAGAGTAGACCCAGAGGCCACAATCCTGCTAACTGTAGCGCTGAGGGTAAGGAATTATTGTAGCCTTGCCAATTCCTGTTGATTCTGGGATCGGCCTGCATGAAGCAGTTGGCAGGGGTAAGGCCTCTGAGGGGTGTTCAACAATTCTTTAGAGTTTTTATCCAAACTCCAAGTTTACTATCTAACCAGAGTGTACAGAGATCCAGTGATGTGCTGAACAAAAATATAGTTACTACAGATGCTTAAAAACCTGCCAATATATAACTTCTCAGGCAGATCTCTTTGCTCTGTTCGAGTTTACAAATGGCTAGGGAGAAATTTTTACTTAAGTTTTAAAGCATTCCTTTCATCTTTTGTCTGCTTTTCATATTGTGAATAATTTGACAGTATCTGTAAAGCACTTGGCAGTTATTAGGTATGAAGTACTAAGCTAGGTATAGGTAGTCTGAGAAACTGTTAGGGAATAATAATATCTTGCTTTAGTAGGACACTAAAAATAATGCAGTCATACCAATAAACGCCTCTTAAAGCATAAGATCTTTTTTTTAGGTGATTACAGTGTTTATAAAAAATATCATCAGGATTGTGATTTATTGAGCGATAAAAGTCCTCTTTTTTTCTTCGCTAAGCATGCATGAAGAAAATGTGCATTTGGGCAGCTATTGAGTTGGCAGATGTGGGGAAAACAGGACTTCTAATATTTAAAGGGGGGAAGAAGTCACATCAGGATTTCTTCAGAAATGATCCAGTTAGATTTGCAGATATATCTTCCATTCAAAGCGCGTGCTTTTAGAGAAGGAATTTTAATATGGAAATTGACGTGGTGTTTATTTAACACTTTATAGATGAGTGTGTTATGTGAACCACACAGAATATGAGATTGATTGTTGTCTTTACTGTTAGAAAACTATGTGATATTCTAAAAGTAAAGATGACCATGCAGAAGGTAAATTTCTGGAGATATTTTTTGAAAGCAAGTTTGGAAATGACTGAACTTCAAATTGGTCCTGAACAGATAGGGTAGAATCTTGCCTCGGACAACAAAGTAGAGGATTTCCTGGTATTTTCTAGTTGAGCTGTAATCTTATTTGAAGAAGGACATGAATGGCAGTGTTTGAGATGGCAAGTCCTGTTAAAAAGTCTGTGTACTGTATATTGCTAAATGTGTAAATGAATTTGGCTCAGGATTTGAATTTGAACACCCAAAGAACTTTGAGTACCATCAGGGAAGGTGATTTTGTTTTGTGTTTTTTCTCTCTGATCGTTCCCTTTGTATTAAAGGGAGCAATAAATTTGCAGTTCTCAGTTTGGAGAAGTATGGTTGAAACATCGGTGGCAGATGGAAATCTAGACTTGTGTAGGCCTGTCCTTTAGTGGGCACTCTCAAAGTTAAATGAGCGGGATTTGACCAGAGAAAATGCAGTGTTCATTTAAAAAAAAAAGTTTTTTATTATCTCAATTTTTGATTCATAATGTGTCGCTTCTGCCTGAAAAATCAGAAATTGATATCATGTAGCTTCTGACACTGATGATCAGCTTCTACAACACAGCAGAAAGGAACGTATTCAATATGAAATTCGTGGTGCTGCTGTGGTGCTTTTGATCGACTCTGCTGAATAGAATATGATTGACTTAATGGCCAAGAATGACAGTAATTTAATGCCACGCTAGTATGGGGAAGGGATGATTATAAATTGGACTAGAAATGGGAATTGGATGAAGTGAAAAATGAAATTAATTTAAACACTCGGGTGAGAACAGTTGACAGTGTTATCAGGAGAAACTGGCCAAACATAATTGTCATCCACTGTAATTATGCTCACCTACAGTAACCACATAGTTGACTCATTTCAATTCTTTTTAGTGTAACAAATTATCCTTTGTATTTCTCATCCATCTAGGACGTTCGTATGGCACTTGTCAGTGTGTTGTGTGCTCTGAGGACTTCAATTACGCCAGAACTGACTGGGAAAGAAAAAAAAATAATAATGAAATTCTCGTTTGGATTTTTGTATCTCACTTCTTTGGTGATAGAGAAACAGTGCCAAAAGGCTGAAAATTACAAAGGTTTTCCTCACACATTTTTAGAAGCTGATTTTTTAAAAATCTATTTATTCCTCACAAAAATGACAAACTGGTTGTTCAATTTCTTGAATTATCTGAGAACTAGGCTTAATAGCCAATCACTTGTAGGATCCTTGAAAATGCAATTTCTAAATCTTATTTGTGTTCTGAGTCCTTTTGACAAATTATGAGATCAAACGAGGTCTGATGTTACTCGTGTCACTCTATATGCTTACTCATTTGAAAGGGTATGTGACTGTAGCTGGGATGCTTTAATGTTACAGGCTTTATTAACTTATTTTAGAGGGATTTTTGGAATTACACTATCAAATTCTGATCTCTGAGGAGTAGTAAAGAATGGATACTTTTCACAGTTTTGGGTTTGGTTTTTTTTTTTAAACAATTTTATATTTTGTACGTTGGCTCATGGGTAGAATTTACATCTGATCCAATTTTGGGCTTTAAACAGTTTGAGTTCTTTAATTTGAGAAGAGACATGCTTAGGAGAGAATTTGTTGAGTGGTGTTCCTGCTGAGTCCGTGAAGAAATTCCAGGGACAAGAGGCAACTCTGGGAAAAGAGGAAGCGATGATGATGGAGCTTGGCAGTTTAAGCTGGGAGAGCAGGAGAGCTTTGAAACTCCTGGTTCTGTGTGTTCCCATGTGGACCGGCCACCCTAAATCTGTCTGGCCTTTATAGGGAGGGAAATAGCTAAGGAAGGCCAGAAAGGAGCTGCAGCGTGTTGTGGGCAGGTGCTAGTGTGTGTCCCGGACCACAGTCTTTGTGAGTTCCTGCACACACGGAGGAACGTTGCACTATTGACTGCCAAGTCACCTGGCCAAGAATGGGATTGGAAAAAATGTTCTGTCAAGGCTTTATCAGATTTGTATTTTGATTGCCTGGTAAACTACGGAAAAACTTGGACGTAGCTAAGCTTTGATGCTGAAGTCCCTTACCAGACTTTCTGTGGACCAGCAGTGTTGGCTTGCTTTCTTTGGAAGAGATTTTGGGCACACGAGGCAGCTGAACTAGAATAACTTTTGTGCTCTACACTGCCGGTGGGACAGCTAAGTCACTTAAAAGGCAGATCCAGTGTGGGAACTGGGGTAGTACTGATGGGTCTATATACACCTACGTACAGTGCTAACTTCAGAATATGTCTCTCAACTACCTTGCTGAATTAAAGGTGTAATTTCAAACAAAGTCCCAGTAGCATATGCCGTGCCAATTCCATTCACGCTCGTGCCAATGTGAAGCTATTGACATTGGTATCAGCAGTTGGAGATTTCTCTGGGATAAGAAAACAACAAAATATGTAAATGATTAGGAGTAAAATAAATCGGAGGCTTCAGAACATCAATAATACTTGAAAATGTATGATTTTTCTCTAAGTTAGGTCACTACTCTGAACAATTATGTAAATTGAGAATGTGTTCTGCCAAAATTTCTGTAGCAATATGCTGCAGTAATTTAGAAGAAGTTTAATTGTAGAGAATGAGCTTTATAGGGAGATGAGGAGTGTAAATATTTTGATTCATCAGTACTTAAAGGTTATGGTTGTTATGTAGAGTGTCTTTTTCTGCAACCATCTGTCTTTATTTTTCCTGACAGGAATGATACGTATAGCGGTTGGTTTTGACAGTGTAGAAGATGTGAAGTTGCAGCCTAATTTACTGTTGTGTTTTTCCTGAATGCTGTGATTGCTTAGGACGTATCTCAAAAATGTGCATGTGTATTTTTTCCCCTGGTAGTCTAAACGTTAACATCTTCAAATTTTCTAATCCCTTGCGCCTTCAGAATAGCCTTTTGTTCCACTGTTCAGTAAGAATATGCTTGGAAAAAAACTCTGAGCATGACTAGTTTGAGTAACAGGGGCCTTTTGTTTTGAAGGTATCGTATCTAAGAATGGCTGAGGTCCATTTCTACAGTGTTGATAAGACTGGATTTTTGCCCTGTGTGTTTGATGGTTTGTGTTTTGTTTGTTTGTTTTTTGTTTAAATTATTTGTTACGTGAAAGCAACATTGCGTAGATTAATAAAAATTTTGCAGTGGACAGGAGCAAGCTTATGGCCTTATTATGTCTGAAACGTTTTCCATCAGGTTTCACTTCAGGTTAAATAAAGTAAAAGGGCTACTGCCCTTTGTGAGCTAAACTGGGACTCTACCTGCCTTATCGAGACAGAACAGATGAAAACCCCTGGTTGAAGAAATGTCATCGGGATACGTAGAGTGCATTCTTTCCAGGTTTATTTTTGAAATTCTCTAAAATTGGTATTAACATTTTTTCCAATAGCTACATTTATAAGTAAAGAGGGGCTTTGAATAATATTTCTTCCTGTTCTAATAGATTTTACAATCATGTCTTTAAAGCAGTTAATAGGCGATCAAAAGTTTCTCCCTTTGAGGGTATACATATTTCATGTCTGTTTTCTCTTTTCTGTGTTATACTTAGTTTTGGAAGTTCCATTTCAGTCAAAATTGTTTTATTGTAGTTGCAGAAAACCAAAAAAGAACTGAGGTGATGTTTTCAGAACAGAACTGGGGCTTTGACTTCAGTGAACTGTGGAGATCAAAATAGAGATCTCAAGAGCTAAAGGCTGAACTGAAGTGTGGAACTCCTTTAGCAGGGATAACAGTATCTGTTTGGTGGATTTGGTATATTCCTTAGCTGAACTACCTTTTTTTTAATTTTTTTTTTTTTCCCTTTTAATTTTCTCCTTTGGTAGAAACCCAGGCAAACAAACAGGAAGGGAACAGAACTCCTTTCTGGCAGGGTCTTAGTGCATGGGGACTGCAGAGTGCACTGAGAATGTGCCATATCCCTGCTGTGCTGGGCTTCTCATCCGCGGTGAGGTTACATTAAAATACACTCTGCATCTCTTGCAGTCTGCGGTGACTTTTGCATACAAATGCAACTGCTGTATTTGCTTTTTGGGAAAGTGCATAGGAAATTGAGTGATGCAATACAGCTATGAAATCTCATATGTTTACTTTTCACCTGTGTGCTCCATCCTCCAAACAGAATCACACAAGTGCAAAAACATAGGAGTTGCTGAAATGTAAATAAGAGGACGGGATGTGCTTTGCTTGCTTACTTAGGGAGGATAACTATGAATGCAAGTAGCAATTTAGCTTTACAGAAAACAAGTCAAACGCCAAAAGGTTTCTGTAACCAGGGCTGGTCTTCTAATACATGAAGTTCTCTTGTACCAATGTGACTGCTACAATTGGACCTTTAAGTATATACTCAGTTCGAAGCATGACATTTGACTTCTTTTTTTTTTTTTTTTTTAAATTTTATTTTATTAGGATTACTCTGTTTCTTTAAGACCTTTTATTCAGGTCCATCGTGTTAGAGGATTTATGGAGTTAGATTCCGTGCTTTAAGTGCAAATGACAGAAGAGTCTTACTGAAGCTCAGAGCAAATCATGCATAAAACTAGTGCAGTTTATATTTCTTGCAGCTGTTCACATTTCCACAGGATTCTAAATCTGGCATGGTGTAACTCTGAAGTACCTTAAAGGGAGGAAAGCTGCTAGACAGGCTACCTGAATTTACTGTCTTTACTAGTTAGAAGTAACTCTTGCACTATAGACTTGCATTGATTTTTAGTGGTGTTGCTGGATAAGTGAAGAGAATTAAGGCTCTAATAGCTGAGCCTTGTCGATTGTCATTTGTGGCAGTTTAAGACATATATACCTCCAGCTTTCCACTTCCCTCTGCTGCTGTAGCAGAGCTGGTGGAGTAGAGCATGTGCCTGTGTTTTGGCTGGTTGTAGGAACTGTCATGGGATGTCAGTATGGGTTTGTACATTAATATTAGCTAGTGGGATGGTGGCAACATGAGTGTTGCCTCTACTCTGGGGCAATAATTTGTGGCAGGACATGGGGCACACAGGGACAGGGAGTGGAAGCCTCCTCAGCGGCGTAGATTGCTCCAGTGAATTACACATTATGGTTCTGCATTTTGTCCTGGCACTGGTCTGTGTTCTATGAACATTGTTGTTGGAAACCCAAGGAATGAATTTTCATAGGCTGCATCTTCAGTTTCTGACTTTTTTTATTCCTTTGCCCAGGTAGTAAGAAAGATTACTATGTGATAGCAAACCAGACCAAGCCTTGAACGCTTAAAAGGAGGAGGGGGGGGAAAAAAAACGTGGTAATATAGCTGTGGTGATCTAAACATATGAGGGAGGTGGAGTGGGATTTTGTTGTTTGTTTGGGTTGTTTTGTTGTGTTTTTCTGAGCCAGCTGAACAGTCTAAACACTTGTCTGTTCCTTTTCTAATTCTATTTCCAATCGTAATTAAAGATCAGAGATTAAAAATTATTTAAGATTGTCTTTTTAGGTGGTTTTCCTTGAAACAGAGGCTTTTCTCTGAATACAGAAAAGTTGTGTCTCAAACTAAGGAGGGTGGGGAAAGGTTGAAGAAAATGTTGAGCTGTGAACCCAGAACCTTTTGTTTGAAGGAGGAAAAATTAAAAAAAGCACCTCTATCCATTCTCGGTTAAGGTTATTTTCCATCTGTTTATCTGTGTGACACACGCATTGGAAAACTGCAAGAAACAGACTTTATCACAACATTGGATCTAATGGATTTACGATCCCTTATGCACCTTTTCTGGCTCGATGGATGACAACTGAGTAGAAGCTGTGGGTCGGTCACTCCTTGCCTTTCTCTCATGCTTTGATACGCGATGTTCTGCAGCGATACCGGCTTGAGGTACTCCTCATCCCTCTACGCCCCTGCTGCAGCTTACTGCTCTTGTGTTTTGCTGGCATCGCTGTTTGTGGAGGTGTGCTGTGGACTGGCTCACCAGCACGCCTCTTCAAGCTTTAAAGGAAAGCAAAACAAAACCACCTTAATATTAAAATGAACCCCACAGAAGTCTCCGTACACTCTTAGGCCAGATCAGTCAGGAGAAGGAAATACAGAAGCCACTGTCGCTGCTGAACTTGTACCCGTTCTGTCCTCAAAGAGCAACCACTTGCTTTGCCCTGTAATGAACATGTGCAGAGTAGAGAAAGAGGTTGACTGTGCTTAGTTGTCTTTCATATAGTAGGGGGCAAAAGGTGTTAAATTAGTGTTTTTATTTACCAGATTCTTTCACTGAATTGGAGTAAGCAGGTGTTTTTACTGCAGCTTGCCGTAAATAAACAGAAGGGTGTCTGGAAACCCTGACCAGCTTTTGTGTAGGAGAGAGCAGTCATAACAAACTGGTTCTGTGAGAAACCGAAAACAAATAAAAGATGAGCTGTTATTCATAGTTTACAAAAGCAGAAGAGATTGTGCACAAAAGAAGCAAGTTATTTTCAAATACTGAAAGCCATTGTTTGCAAACCTGGGACAAATTTCAGTAACATTCCATGTTCTCCTGTTTTCAGTCTTTAGAAGATCTGAGGACGCCAAAGGCAATAATTTTAACTGACTCCAGCCTCAGAGAAGGGTGAAAATTTTCTCCAGCTACTGCGTTCAGTACTGCTAGAAGTGTTTTGAATCTCCCCAAGGTATTTCCAAGAACATTTCTTACCTGTTTCTGAGTGTTACAGTCTTGCAGTGACTTAAAACGTTGCAGTCAGTTAAAGCAAATAATCTTTTCCCCTGACAAAACTCTTTCTTCAGGGAAAGCTCTTCTTTTGGCACTTTAATGAATGAGATTATTTCCTATCACATCACAGTTATTTTCCTTATTATTTTGTGTTCTTGGCATTTTTCAGTGTAACATTACTGTACAGAGTGAAAGGTAGGCAATACGCAGATAAGAATATTTCCAGTTGTGCAGCTGAAGGATGGGTGTATGTATTTGTGAGGGTTTTTATTGAAGTAGGAGATGTTAAATGACACCAAATCCCAAAATCAATATTCCATTTTTAGTTTCTACCGGTACTTAGTACTTAGAGTAATGTCCGAGTATTTTAATAACTGATAATTCACATCGACTGTTTTCATGCAGCCACATCTGTTTCCCCAAAGAAAGTCTCTAGCCTTAAAAGATATGGGTAGACTCAGACTCAAAATGAAGCTGATGAAGAGGTAATAAAAGTCATGCCTGAAGCCGCACCTTTTTCTTAGGTTTCTGCTCGACACAGGGAATAACTATTTTAGGCAATCTTGGGAGCTTCACTGGAAATCTTGTGGTTGTATGGTTCCACGGGAACCAAGTAGGCTGGAAAACTGGAACCATAGATCAAATGATCTGTGTGACTGTGATGGTAGGAAAAAGAAATTTAATCTGTTTTACATGAAGGACGAAACCTTCCGTATAAAGTTATCATTAGGACATGCAAGTTGACTGCACTGTGTAGAAATACCCGCTTAGCGATGAACAAAGTAGCAAAACCTATAGGAGCAGTGTTGTTAGTGCAGTGTTTTGTGTGGGTAACGTTGAGAAACTACTTGGATGTCTCTGCAAGCTGCTGCATTGGGCTGTGTTGAATGCAGGTGGGGTGATGATACTTTAGCAATTCGATTGGTAAATTCCAATCCATATTCAGAAATTTTATTCTCTGCCTGTGAGAAATGGACTTCAAAGACCACGCTTACATAATGGTAAATTGGGGAAATACTCTGGTCCTAGAATTACTGCTGCATCAGGTTTTGAGTCATCTCTGAGAAGGTTTGTATTGCCAGTAGCGCTTCCTGAAGGAATTGCATAAATACTAAAGATCAAATGGCTTTTAGTTTTCGTTATTCTGTAGTTTGTGCTCTTTCTCTCCTGGAAGTGAGTTTTCTTTGCTTGGTTATTTCAGAATCAGTATAAATACAGAGGTAAAAGCTTGCATTTGTTTTTCAAATATAGCAGAGTTGCAGGAGTGCCCACTGCAATGCTGGTCATAGTGGTGGTGCAACAGCTTCTGCCTGCTCACTGACTGCCAACACTGTCAGATCTAAGAGTTAAAGTGCTGCAAGGTAGAGAAGGATCTTTCAAACCTATTTTTGCTTTATTACTAGAGAACAAGCGTCTCCTGATTAGGTAGGAGTGATTGTAGTGTTGCCAGGTAAAAGAATGAACCTGGCCAAAGCTAGAAGCCAACCCTTTGTTTGGTTATAGTGACTCGGGTCATCTGGATGCCGTCCTGCACTTGGCTGCATTCAGTGTGTTACTGTCCAAAGATGGAAAAGCAGCAGTGAGTCTGTGCTTAGAGTGCTGGAGCGTTTACAATACAACTACTCAGTTCATTGGCAAGGTGAGGAGCAGGCTGTCCCCTGCAAATCCTCTGATTCAAATCCAGGGTTTGCTGTGTGCCATTTGGTAAAGTGAGAAATCAAACACCATTTAATTATCCTCTTAGTCCTTCAGTCTACCTGCAGTATCCTTGGGCTTAGTCATTGGAGGGGATGTGTGGGTGCTTCAGGCCATTTCTCTGCCAGTCAGCACCTTTTGGGCCAATGTTCCTGTTCCCAGCTCAAGACATTGATGAATAGCTTCTATTTGTCATATCGTTCAATGGCTTTTAATTTTAGCATTGCCAGCCTCAAGCATTCAAATGCTGAAAGTCAGTTCCCAGACACCAGTAATTAAATCAACTCAGACACTTTCCATTGGAAGTTGTAAGTCTGGTATTTGATTATGTTTTCAAACTTCTCTCAGTAATCTTTAAACCTAGCTTTATTCTTTGTTTGAAATGGAAGCGTCAGGTGCAGTTTGATTCCAGGAGATACATCTGGTGACAGGGAAGGAAACAACCATGACTGCTTTGTTTTGTCTTTTCCTTACCTTAAAATGTGTTTATTTCCTGATCCCTGCTTACCCTTGACTGCAACAAAACTTTTCTCTAGTAGTAGAGACTGAATTAGCATTCTCCTTCCTAAATCAGTCTGTGTCAGATTTTGATTTAGAAGGTCGATTGCCTTTAGTGATGATGCTGTCCCATTGATTCTTCTGGAGATATACTAGCACTGATATATTTAAATTTTATTATTTGCTATGGACCAAATGTCGAGGCAACATAGATGGCTTCCATGTGAGTTAGAGGCTGGGAATCTAAACTAATGAAAAAGTAATTTAAATAAAAGATAAAGTGGTGTGATACAGTGTAGAAGATATACAGAAGATTACAGAATAATATTGTAAAATACACTAATTCAGACTGCTCCCAACCAAGTTAACTTTATTAAAGCCTATGAAGCATCTAGCTTATTAAAAAAGCTATGTGAAGTATTTGTTTTGTTGGGCATATGCAGTTTAATTTGGTTGTCGTTCCTTTATGAAGTGAATTGTCCTTTATATGTCAGTAAACATTGCTTTTGCTTGTTTAAAAGTTCATAGCAGCTGGAATCAAATGCTTTACACTCAAACAAGAATCATTATTAAGAAGGTTATCTCTGATCATGCTGATTCCAGCAATATTTAATGTGTTTTAAATAATTAAAAATGCTAATGTGAGATCATGTAGGTAAAGTGCACAGTTAAGGCAATTAACTGCATAAGAGCTAGTCAAGTGAAGAGTTTGATGTAAATTTTTTTTCCACTACAAAAAAAAAAAAAAAAAAAAAAAACAATTAGTGTATTTTATGATATTATTCTGACTTCTACGCTGTATCTGCATCTGTAGGAATGATCTAGCATTCATGTTTCACTAATTCTTTGCAAATGTGCAGCAGCATTTCTACTAGCAAGCTATGAAACATTATAATAATTCACAGAAATATAGGCTGCTAAACTATGAATTTTATCTAGTTCTCATTGAAGACCTTGACCCAAATTATTGCTGAAGGTCTGAAATGACAATAGATGTCTGTATATTATCAACTGAATTTGTCTTAATTGAGCTTAATTGGAAAAAATAAAAATCAGTGTCTGCATGTATTGTTTACAAAGTATTATTTTTGTTTATCAAGTGAGTTAATCATCAAACCTCATATAAATGGCAATTGTACCAGAACTGCTACTCGGTTTTCCTATCCTTAAAAAAATGTATAAAATTCTTGCTTATGAAAAAATATTTTTTTTTTAGTGTTACAGTACATTTGCTTTGGATTGGTATTAATTTTAGCCAGGAGTTCAAAGCATTCTTAGGCTGTTGTAATAGATGGAAAGACTGCAACTCATAAATGTGCTGCACCAAGGCACTTGAAGAGAGATGCAGAGGCATGTCATTCACTATGGTTTTGATAGAATTTCCCCTTTTTGCCCCTTCTGTTTCCTTTTAAGAGATAAAATCTCTTCAAGAAGATTGGAATGTATAATAAATAAGACATATGGGGCTAATAAGCTCCTGCATGCATTTGGTATATTCATAATATTCTCAGCTGTACCATAGAGAATCACACAAAGCACAGAATTTGTCTAGGTTGGAAGGGACCTCTTGAGATCGTTTAGTCTAACCCCCATGGTCAAGCAGGGAGCAGGTTATCCAGGACTCTGTGCAGAGGTTTTTTGAAGATCTCCAAGAATGGAGATTCCACAGCCTCTCTGGGCAATCTGTTCTGGTGTTCAACCAGAGTTGTTTAGAGTCTTGTGTTTTGATGGGATTTCATGCGTGTTAATAAGTTACAGAAGAAGCGATGTTTTACGTTGAATTATGAACAGCTATTTGTAGCATTTAGTGATTATTTTTTTTAACAAGGTTATTATTGTCCTTATAATTTTTAAGAATATTTGTGTTATTTTAGAAACAAGTGCTCCTACAGACTTTTAAATTATTTTTGTTTATATTGTGACGTATACAGATGTTGTCTTGGCGGGAAATGAGCTCCAGTTGTGTACAAGGAATTATGCTTGGTGGTGTTTCCCTTTCCAAATGTAGTGGTCTTCTACAGACTGGCATGCAATTTGCAAACTTCAGTTAGGCATTTGGGACTGCCTCCACAAATCATCTTATGTTGATTTTGAGGAGCGATGTTCACAAACCATAGAGACTTGCTGAGGTTCCCAGTTTAATGTCTGGGTAGCAATAGATGTTTTGGAACAAGGATTCTCAACAAGCCATGAGATGTTTGCATGAATATGAAGGGAAGAGCAGGATGTCAGTTTAGCTGATAGAAAAAATCAGAGGTGTATGTGTTTAAAATTCCTCACTCTTCTAGAAATAAGGACTCAGCAGTAGCCCTACAGAGCCTTTCATGGGTGCCTACGTTCACAGTGCCCTTATGAATTTAAGTGGCAAGTTGTTTCACAGAAGAAGTGTTTTATTTATTTTGGTATTTAGCTTCTCTTATTTTTTATTAAAATAATCTGAGAGCTCTTGATGCAGTGCTTGCCTGATAATGGGTCTGAATTCGGTTGTCCTTGCTGCGCTGGGCATTCAGAACTGCTCCTCTCACTTACGAAGAGTAAAATAACTATCAGACTAGAGCCAGAACTAGATACACATGGGATTATTCTCGATTCCCTCCTGCTGTCGTGATTTATTGTCCCACTAAGAATGCGCATTTTGGGTCAGAAGTAGAGTGAGTGAGAATAGGTATCCATAATCCAGTGATGAAGGTGGTGTCTTGGGGATAAGGAGATGGGGCTCTGTCCTGGGAGCTGGGACCAGAATGTCGAATGGGTATTTTGAAAACA